CCCCCCCCCCCGTGCCCCCACCCCAGGCCCTAAATGCCATTTGCCACGTGAGGACTCCATTTCCCAGCAGTCTTTTGCCTCGCACAACCCCCAACCCTACAGGATATAGGATCCTTTGAGCCCCCTCCCAGCTCAAGGCGACCCTCCCAGCCCAACATTTGGCCCAGAGTCAGCCCTTGGTGGGGGAAGGGAGGAAGAGGAGGGCTGGGCTGTGAGGCAGAAGGCTGCAACAGGGCTGCGTCACTTCCTCTATCCGGGGAGGGGACGAAGGGCCCTGAGGCTGCACAGGGCTCTGCATCTCTGACATGCCGTGGTCCCCAGCAGCATGGGGGGCATTGAGAATGCACAGGGACCAGCCCCATAGTGTGAGGGTTTCCACCCCATAGCTCCATGCAGTGCTGGGGTGTGCAGGAGCGTGAGATGGGGTTGGGCTCTGCGCTGTGATCAGGAGGGGCTGTGCAGGGAATGGGGCTGAGCCATTGGGTGTCCCCTGTGTCCTCATGTGTGGATCCTTTGCCATAGGTCCCAGTGAGGTCAGCAGGAACACAAACTCCAGGCTTAGATTTGGAGTCCGACTCTGATGTGCTGTGTTTGCAAAGTGGCAACAATGCTGTAGTCCCAAAGCTACCGCCCTTATCTTTACCTCTACAGTTACCAAAAATAATCCTACTGTGCCCCAAATTTCACTCTCACAGTTCCACAACCCTGTGTGAACAAGCAGCAAAGAGTCCCTGCTCTGCTGCACAGTTTGGTGCTGCCGATGGCACAGCTCAGGGATGGGATGGGATCTGGTGATGGAGCAGGAGAGCCATCATCAGGAACAGCATTGGGGACAGCACCCCGGGGTGGCACACGCCTCCGTGTCCTCAGTGCCCAGCTCAGATCTTCTGCACGTAATTCCCGGGGAAAAGCCCTTCCCTGCCGTGCAGCCGTCCCTTCCACCAACCCGAGATATCTGCAAGGGGGGGAAAAATCGATAGGGTGAAGTGTGGGAGAGGAAAAAAAAATCCCTCGGGTGAAATATGGGGCTGGCACAGGGAGCCAAGATCTAGCCAGTACCTTCCAGGAGGATGTCAATGACATCTCCCACGTTGAAGCTGAGCTCATCCACGTCCTGTCCGACGTACTGATAAAGTGCCCGGCAGCGCGGCACGGCTGCTTTGGGCAGCGGCTTGGGGCGACTGGCTGGGGGGGGCCGCTGACCCACACTGCGTCTCCGCTGCATGCTGTGCGATGGGGACACAAGGTGTGAGCATGGCACACCCCCAACACTGATCTGCTGCCACCTACCAGTTTGCCCAGTTTGTCCCTGGGATGGGAGCATGGGGTGGTGGGGATGCAGTGTTGGCACTGGGGGTGGCATCCCATGTCCCCAACCCCGTCCTGCTCCTGTCTCCCAGTGCAGTCATGTTGTCCCCATGGCTATGGTATGGGACTGTGGGGACATGGTGTGAGCAGTGTGAGGGACGTGTCACGTTCTCAACTCCATTCTGCTCCCACCTCCCCCTCCTTTTGCTCAGTTTGTCCCCACGGCAATAGGATGAGAGCATGGGATGGTGAGGAAGCAGCATGAACACTGAGGGGAACATCTTGTGTCCCCATCCCACTCCCACTCTGCTCAGTTTGTCATCCATGGCAATGGGGTGGGAGGATGGGGACACAGCATGAGCAACAAAGGTGGCATCCCTTATCCCCAACCCATCCTGCTCTCACCTCCCAGTGCAGCCAATTGTCCCCATGGGATTGGAGGATGTGACGGTGGCAGCACCAGGCACGAGCACCAAGGATTGCATCCCATGTCCCAAACCCCATCGTGCTCCCACCTCCCGCTTTGCTCAGTTTGTCTCCATGGCAATGGGATGGGAAGATGGGGTGGTGGGCACTGAACCTACCCAGCCACCCCCTGGTCAGGGACATTGAGGAACTCCATGTTCTGCTCAGATGGGGGTCGTGCCTTTGACCGGCGGCTTGCGTTCTGGGGGGGCAATGCGTTGGCTGGGGGTGCCCGTGCC